CATATTGCCCCCAACAACAATCCGCGTCCTCATTTCACCCACCTTGGAAGTATGGAAGGCTGAGTCAACCTTGAGCCAGTGAGATTTGAACTGCTGAACTGCAGATAACAGTCAGCTGAAGTGGCCTGCAGTACTGCACCCTAACCACTGCGCCACCTTGGCTCTTCTCTTGAGCAGGTCAGGCTTGAAGGAATTGAATTCCTGGCAGTTGGCAAAATTAGCAATACTGCATCCTAACCACTGCACCACTGGCTCTTCTCAATGTTATAAATAGAGTTCAAAATCATAGAGCAACTAGTCATTTCTACTTTCCCTCACCTGAAGTTGGAATTAATGTTGATGTGATGCATATTCTCTATTTTGCGCAGGTCACTGGCATGGCAGACAGCCAGGTTGCAGTTTAGGCAACAGAAAATTACACTGTCTGGATTGTGTAGGTGGCGCTGCTGCTGAAGTTTGACATCCCGCAATTTCCTGCTGATCATGCTTTCATGCTGCAATTTTGCAATCTATTGGAAAGAATCAAGAATCTGTGTTCCATCCATATGAATATATGGTATATTGTGACTTCCTTCTGCAGGTCTCCAAGATTGCTAAGTGATGGCAGGACTAATACTTCCAGTTACCATTGTTAAGCAAAATCATGGGTTGTTAAGCAAGGATCTCATTGCAATTTCCTTCCAGCTTCCAATGAGCAAGATCAATGGGGAAGCCAGCAGGAAATTGCAAGCGCCAGATAGCTTGCAAGGTGCTGCCAGTTATAGGAGAGTGTGCAAGGGACATGAAGGTAAATGATTGCTGCTTTCACAAAAAACGAGGCGTGCAGAGGGTTTGGGAGGTCTGCAGAGTGCAAAAACTGTTTTTTTTTAAATATACCTCTTCAAAATCTTGGTGCGTCTTATACTCCGAAAAATACAGTAGCTCAAAGCTTTTTCTCCCCCTTAGAAGACTGTAATTTGAGACTATGAGTTACGACTTTGGTGATGTAAAGTGGCAGCAAAAGAACAAATAAGAGCACATTATCACAACATGTCGAAATCTGGCTTGCTGCGTTTCCCACCAAATTAGTACTTTATTGTCATTCTTTCTCAAAGCCTAAATATCAAAGGCCACTTTCTTGGCCTTTCCAGGAAGTTCTTTTACCTTTTGGTGGTATTCTTCCTCAGGCATCTCCTGCACCCATTTTATGGCCCTCTCCATAAGGATCTCCAAAGATTCATTAAGCCTCTCACGGGCCACCTCCTTGCTGTTGGTCTTGGCCAAAATGGAACAGATGCTGTTTGGGGCACGGGCACGGCCTCTGGCCTTCAGAAAGAGAAAGAAGAGCAACTGCATTCATCTCCAAATGCATTCACCAAAGACACTCACCTGTATTCAACTCCAAACTAGTGGGCTCCAAAGCCCACTGGTGTTCAAGAACAGGGGTATCAAACTCGATTTCATTGAGGGCCGCATCAGGGTTGTGTTTGACCTTGGGGGGGCAGGCACGACCAGCTCGATGTGACTTGTGTTGGGAAGAACCTGTGGTAACCAGAGCGCTCTGCCAGTGAAAACGGGCTCCGGAGCTCTGTTTTCAGCTGCGATGGCCTCCTGCAACCCCCTGTCAGTGAAAATGGAGCTGGGGAGGGCTGCGTGCAGCCCTACTGAGCTCCATTTTCACTGGCAGAGGCATCGCAGGTTAGTCCTGTGCTGTTCCCAGACCAGCCCGGGGGCCAGATCTAAGCATCCTGCAGGCCAGATAGCAGTTAGATAGCAATAGCAGTTAGACTTATATACCGCTTCATAGGGCTTTCAGCCCTCTCTAAGCGGTTTACAGAGTCAGCATATTGCCCC